CGCCTGGGGCGGGGGGCACGTTAAGTCGCTTCAGAACGTGTGGGGGCGGGGGGGGCGCCTCGTCCTTCCTAGGCACGAGGGAGGGTGTCAAATCCTGCCCCGCGGCGTCGAGTTTTTTCTGTAACGCAGCTGGCTTTTCCCGACAGCCTGGGGCGTTGGGTGCAGGAGGAGGAAGGGGGCGCAAGGGCGATGCTGCCCGTCCCGGTTGGGAAGCGCCCGTGGCGAGATGGGCGCAGGGTGGCCGCGCGGGCCGTCCGGCCCAGACACGGGTGGGCAGGATGAATGGGACGGAAGGGGCTGGGTTGTAGCTGGGCCCGAAAAGAGAAGGGACCAGCTTGGCTCTGGGCGTGAAGTGAGAGTCGGAGCCGCAGCGTGAAAGGGGATGCTGGTGTCTGGGAGGGGACCCGATTGCACAGCAAGGGGGAGCGCTGGACCGGATTACATGGGGGGGACGAGGAGGCGTCTGGGAGGGAACCCGATTGCACAGCGGGGAGGACGGGGGTGCAGTGCCTGTGCGGGGACCCAGTTACACAGGGGATGGGATGCAAGTGCATGGGTGAGGCGTGATTGTACAAATGAGGGGTGCTGGTGTTGTTGAGAAGTGGGGAGACGGTCTCTTGACTGGGTAGAGAGCCACCTGAACGTGAGCTGGCACAGGCTCCAATGCAAGGGCTGGTTACAGCTGGGCCCATTGCTGATGTTGAAAAGCCTGTGGGCAGCTGTGAAATGGGCAGGGATGCCTCTTCTTTCAGCTGCTCTTTGGGAAGGAGAAGAGCTGCTGAAGCAGGAACTGGGACACCATGCAGCTTTCTGGTGAGCACCATGCAGAAGCTGAAAGTGAGAAGAAGGGAGGCACGGAGCAGCAGAGTGACTCCCTTCTGCTTTTGCAGCATGTGCTTAAAAAGTTGTGCTGGGGGAGCGATTGGCAGTGAGCACGGGCACAACACCCCATGTTCCCGGCTGCTGAGTGGGAGGCAATCGCTGCCGGTACTTGGGGATAGATCAGATGCCCCCCAAGGGGGTACAGCCCCAAAGCCCACCTTGGGAGCACGCGCTGCCCTTCCTCAGCAGGGTGCTGGCCCTTGGCAGGTGGCAGCCGTTCTGGACTGTGTTCACCTCCTGCCTAGCTCTGGTCCCTTGTGAAGTGTCTTGATTTTGAAGTACAATAAAAGATGGGATGCTTTTAAGCTGGCACTCCTGTGACTCTTTTCCCTGTACCTGCCTAAACTAGTCAGCCTTACTGTTCAAGGTGCTTCTGTTATTGAACTTTCCTTGATTAATGAGCAACAGTGTTGGGTACATGAAAAGCTAGAGCAGCTTAAACCTGAGCAGGCTGAGTTGGGAGAGACTGTCATGGCTGCACTTGCCTGGTCACAAGGATGATTCTGTGAATTGTGTGTTGGCGGGTGGGGGCTTTAGGTGACTCTACTTGGCTTGTCACTCAGCCAGGCCTTATGGGCAGAGGGGCTCTGAAGCCAGCCCCCTCTCCTCTGCATTTTTTTTTTGAGGTGTGATTTTATTTTTATTTTTTTTCCCCTGTCCAGTGCAATAATAAGCTCAGAAATGGAAGTAGTGTTGGTCCTGCACTTGGCTCCCCTGCACTTGTTCCTGTGCCCCACAGTTTCAGCCTGAACGGGCTGCATGCTGTCTGCAGTACGAGTGGAGCTGCAGAAGCCGTGTTCCTTCCACTTCCCGTGAAAGCCTCCTACTTATCTGTGGGGCAGACACGCTCCCTACCTTGCAAACAGAGACTGAGAAGAGTTTGATCATTGTATTCGTCCATTCAAGCCGGTACAGTAGTGCAAATAGTTTACAAGCAAAAGCCACCAAGGAGCTGCTTTTTTTTAAAAAAAAAAAAAAAACAAGGAAGCAGTTTTCTTCAGACCCCAGTACTCTAAAATTGTAACAATAGTAATTTGGCAAGTTAAGCTATGCAGCACTCATTGCAGGACACGGAGTTAGTGAGTTTGCCAGGAGCGTGCAACACATCTGGGGAGTGGTGGTGATAGTTTGAAAGAAAAGTTTTGTCAGTTCTTCAGAAAGCTTGTTTCCCAAGCACAACTTGAGATGCATGGTTGTGTGCAAGCCCAAGGAAAGAGATCTGTGTAGCTTTTTTTTTCTGCCACACAGAAAAAGTATTTATAAAATATTCCTATGGGCTTTATGTATTTATTTTGGAAGAGCCTGGGTTGTCAGATGCCCCTTATTTTGTGTTACCCCAGGACCTATAGGTGGAGTTGGATCTATTAAGATCTCTGGAGCTGGAATTCACATCAGCATCGCTTGGACTTGGAGTGTTAGTTGTTTGACAGATGCATGTGAAGTCTGCTTGAGGCTGCTGGAGCAGTACTCTGCTTAAACGGGAAGTACTGAGCATGATAATGACTATTTTCTAGAACGTAGTTGTTACAAATCCAGTTTTGTGGGTTCTTGTGTGGTAACTGTTTTGGAGTGGGCCCTGGGAACTTGCCCGCTTCTACAAATGTGCATCCTTTGCAACTGCCTAACTACCAGAGGACAGGGCTCTTGCAAAACTCCTGCTGATCGCTATCAGGATTTTTGCTGAAAGAGAAATGAGAACATATCAGGAGGCACTACTTCACAGGCAGGGTGGCTAGGATCTGAAACCAACTTCCAAGGGAAGTGGTGCTCGCTTCTACCCTGGGGGTCTTCAAAAGGAGGCTAGACAGCCACCTAGCTGGGTTCGTTTGACCCCAGCATCCTTTCCGGCTCGTGGCAGGGGGTTGCCCCAGCATCCTTTCCGGCTCGTGGCAGGGGGGTGAACTTGATCTGAACAGGTCCCTTCCGACCCTACCAACTATGAAACATAGTGCCTGGAGGAGCCACATTCTCTGGATGCTGCCAAATGGCATGGTAAACCCCTCTGCTGGAAAGCAGGGAGAGGAAGTGAGTGGTTGCTCGGGTTAGATTGCTCCCTCTGCATGAGGTTCACAGCTCTTGACATAGGACTGAAATGAAGGAAGCAGCCTCTAAGACAGACAGTGCCCTCTGGGCAATATGTACATGCCACAGCGTTGTCTTGAATGCAGATATCTGGCTTCCTGATGTTCTCTCGCAAAGTGGCTGGTTTGTGGCCTCCCACCCATTCATGCTAACATAGGATGAGAAGTATTCAGACAATCTCTCTCTTGACAAGCAGTCCAAAGACTGGTGTTGCTTGCATTGGTTTAGCAGGGCCGAATGCTTCCAGGGGATAATGTGTTTTGTTTTTTTTTCTGGACTGGGCATGATCAGAGGAGTGAAGATGAATATGGATCATCACGCAACACAAATGGTTAGTGTTGGCGGCTACTTAAGGAGTCCGACTACAGGTGTGTTAAGAGAAGATAAGAGCATTCGATTTGACTTCATGGGCTGTGTCCTGCAAGTGGCATCTCCAATGGTGTCCTTAACCTCTAACCAGACAGAAAACAGACCTCATTCTCTGCAGAGTCCAGTCTTCTTCAGATAGACAAATGCCAGGTGAGAGTCTGGCTCTGTCTGGGATGGCACCTGCCCCAGGGCTTGTAGTTCCTTTCCAACAGCTGCTCGGATCTGGGTACCATCCTTCATCACTGCTGACTCTAGGTAGGCTTGTCCCCATTAAGGGATAGGTCAGGTCCATCACCTTAGCCAGGTCCCTAGAAACATGCTTTTTTCTTAAACTTCCTCATAGGTGACCTGACCAGGGCAATTGATCTCCCACGGTGTATTGTTTGGACACTGCTT